GACCAACCGCCCTGTGCCCGCTCACGGGGCGGGCAGGCTCAGCGCAACAGCGTGTCGGTTCCCGACCCTTTGCCGCTTTACCTTTTTATTTCCTCCTCCGGGGACGTGGCTGATGTTATCTAAGGACCCGATTTTCGATTGCACCTTATCTTTGAAGTCCAGTTTCTCAGATTTCACCTCCACCTGGCCGCCGCCTGCAAGAGAAGAGCGCGAGCTGGGTGAGCTCCTGCGCCAGCCCGGGCAGGGGCTGGAGAGAAAGTGCCGAGGTGGGAGGTGGGTTCAGCCAAAGAAACCCGGGAGCCAGAGCGATCGGAAGCCCGGGGTTAAGAGAGGAGGAAGGATACCTGGTTTGTGATGGATGTTGCCCAGGGACCCACATTTGGACGTCACGTGGCTCAAGTCGACGGGCTTGTAAACGATTTGAACCTGTCCGTAGGGAGAGAGGAGGAGGCGATGAGCTTATCGCCACGGCGGGCAGCGTGGGGAGGGGGAGGGACAACACACACCGGCACCTGATCTGGATTCGAGGGAAAGGACAGCTTAAACCCCGGTAAGATTAACGACACGGAAGAAACTGCCGTCAGGAATGGGAGATCATTAATGTGCAGTAGCCTCTCTCAACAGGTCAGCATGCACAAGATCACCTCTCCACAGAGGAGGGGAGTAGAGGCAATTTTAAAGTGCTTAAGTGAGAGAGAAAGTGGAGTGGTAATTAATTCAGATTTGCATACACATCATCCAAAAGGAGGAGATATAACCAGAGAGAAAACGTAAAAAATAAATACCTTTTCTGGTGTAAAACATAAAGCTTATGTCCACAAAAACTGAAAGAACAGAAATGATCAATGTGCACAGAACTTTTAAAAGAGTGACCAAAAAATATGCATTTCTGAAAAATGCTGTAACGGAAATAAGGGTTAAAAAAAAATAATAAATCAAACAGCAAAACAAATTCTAAATATCTGGCAGGAGTTCACGTAACACAAATGAAAACAGCAATCCCAATATATTGAACCACGACAGCATTTCATGCCATTGCCCTCTGTTTTTTTCTCAGTTTACCCATTATCACGTCTCTGAACGCAGCAATTCCACTTAAATCGCCCCGTTCAGAGACCGGCCCGGGGCCAGCGGCCTCTTGCACAGGGACGAGGGGCTCACACGAGACGCACACACAAGGAGCGGTTACGGTGGAAGCTGTTTAGTGGTTACGTGAGCGGTTAAACACCACACTGGAAAACACCAACGGCTGGAGAGGCGTGGGAGCGTCGGGGACAGCAGAGCCACGGCACAAACACACCAGCTACACCGGGAGCGGGAGACACGGGGGGGGAGAAAACATCCCCGAACCCCCAGGAGTTACCTGGGACCCTGGGTTTGGGCTCACACCCGCGTGATGCTGTCGCTCACCGGGTTGTGTGGGAGAAACGGGGTTCATCGAGAGCTCGGGGCTGGTGCCCAGGCAGGATTTCAAGGGGAGCGGGGGAGATCTCTGCGTTTCCGCTGAGCGGGGGGAAGGATGTGCCGGCACCAAAGGGCCCTTCGTGGAGGAGTCGACTCCTCCGGGCAGCCGCCAGACCCCATCCATCGCAGCATCATAGAATTGGCAGGGTTGGAAGGGACCTTAAAGATCGTCTCGTTCCAACCCCCCCGCCATGGGCAGGGACATCCCCCACTAGACCAGGTTGCTCAGAGCCCCAGTGCTCGAAAGCCGCGTCCTTCAGTTCTCACCTCGATCCCCGTCACCCTCTGAGCTGGGGGGCTGGACCGTGGTGATGCCCGAGAAATGTCCCCTCCTCCCAGCCAGGAAAAGTGTGTGGTGGGGGAATGGAGGCTCGGTGCTGCCGTTCCACCGGCTCTGCTGCTCGGGCAGCCCCAAAAGGCACGTCCGTCCGTCCGTTCGACAGAGAGAGGGGAGGAGAAGCAAGCCCAGGGGCTGGGAGCACAGCGCAGACACTCACACCAAGACAGTCCCACGGTTGATGCAGGGAACAGAGCCCGGCTCATCGGAAGGCAGGAACAGAGCCCGGGAGGACGGCTGGCGCCTTCCTGATCCCAGCCGTGACCCCGAAGGGCCTGGGCGCGACTCGGGCACCGCTGGGACCCGGGACTGAGAAACCTCCCATTTCCAGAGCAAGCAGTCAGCAATTGAAACTTTCCGCTCTGGTCCAGCTCCCTTTT